CCGGGCAGTGGCGCGCCCGCGTCCCCGGGAGCGGCTCCCACCTGGAGCGAGGGGCGGAGCGTAGTCGAGGGGCGGGGCTTGCCGCGGGGCGGGGCTTGCCGTGGAGCGCTGGCTGCGGGGCGGGTGCACCGGATGCCCTCAGCTGCTGCGACCGCCTGGGCGGGGCTTGCGTGCATGGGCGTGGCCGGCGCCGGGCTGGGGGCGGGGCCTCGGGCTGGGGGCGGAGCTGCTCATCTTCCCTTGGTCCTTGCTCCTTGTCGCCCCGCAGGTCGCCCACGTCCAGCCCCACGCCGCAGCGCCGAGCCCCCGCCGTGCCCCCAGCCCGGCCCGGGTCGCGGGGCCCTGCTCCTGGGCCTCCGCCTGCTGGGTCCGCCCTGGGGGGAGCGCCCCCCGTGCCCTCCAGGCCGGGGGCTTCCCCTGACCCCTTCGGCCCTCCCCCTCAGGTGCCCTCGCGCCCTAACCGAGCCCCGCCCGGGGTCCCCAGGTGAGTAGGGGCTGAAAAGTGGTGGCAGAGGCCAGGTGGCGGTGACCGGGAGGGAGGTATGGGACCGGATTCTGGAGCGTTGGTCCGGGCCACCAGAGCAGCCACGGGCCACCTGAACAGCCACGTCCCAGGCATTTGCTGGGCACCTTGGGGTGCCGGAGCCTGCCTCGCAGGGGGCATTGAGTCCCGGAGGTGTCTTTTCTGAGGAGCGGGCCGGAGGGCGTCCCACCTGGCCCTCTGTTTTCAAGCACTTGCATGGCGCTTCCCTCTTTTCTCACTCCCTGCCTCCCACTGTTGCAGTCCCTTTTCCTCTCCGGCTTTCCTCCTTCATTCCGCCCTCCACTCCTCTCCCGGCCCCTAGCAGCCGACTTCCACTCTGAGGGCCTGCGCCCAGGCCCAATATGGATGCGTGGATTTCCTCCCCATAGACCCAGGGCTGCCTGATGCCCCCCCCACTCCCCAAGGCCCTGTCTCGGGGACCATTGGCCGGAGTGTGACTGCGTGACCAGCGAGGTGTGTGCTGTGCGTGTGGGCGTGCACACGGGTGTGAATGTGAGAGTGGCACCCAGGCCCAGGCTAGGACAGGGAGCGGCCAGGGGAGGCTTGTGGGAGTCATGGGGCAACGCAATGGCGTCTTCCCCTCGCCCCTGCCTCTGGCCCACCTTGTCTGGGCCAATGTAATGGGGGCCGCAGCAGGAACTGGAGAGGAGAGGAGGCTGCTCTCCTACCCCAAATATTTCCCAGGAAGAGGATTCTTCTCCCTTCCTTGTCTTGGCCTTCTGGGCCCGTGACCCCGTTTCCAGGGTCCCACCCGCCTCCCGCCGGCTGCTCCTGGGAGGAAGAACGCATCAGAGCATTGGCACCTGTGGGTGTTTGCCGATGGCTGGAGGGTGGATTGGGGGTCTAGTGAAACACAGCTGGGATGGGCTTGCTCTAGCGGGACCGGCTGACTGAGGCAGAAGGCAGGGTGTGGCACGGGAGCCTCAGACTCGGGGCCTTCCCAGAGCCTGTTTCCCTGTATCCCGTGAGGGCCTCCTACATGTCTCTCCCAGGGCTGGTGCGGCAATGCCCAGGTTTGGTGGGGTAGAGGGGTGTCCAGGGACATGCTGGCTAGAGGGATGTCATGGTGACTGCCAATGGGGCTCTAGGGACACTGTGCCAACTTACAAATTCTTCCCAGTACGCAGTATGTCCCGGTCTCTGCCAAGGTTCAATATATGGGGATAGTAACACTTGGTAACTTCAGTCTCACCAGCTCAGGAGACATTAGGCAAGGCCTGGCCCTGCACGCCGGCAAGGGGGCAGTCTGGGAGAGCTTGTTCGAGGCAGCCCTGGCCTCCACACAGCTGGGGGTGTGGCTGAGTGACGGGGAGGGTGTTTGGGGTGTAGAGTAGCAGTGTGGGCACAGTATGTACTGAGGAAGGATGCTGCTAACCGGAGCACAGGGTACCCACAAACTGGCAGCCGGGGTTCTGACGCGGAAGCTATGGGAGGCTGGAGGGATCATCCGAGTCTCTGGCTCTTGAGGGGAGGGGTGAGCGAGTTGCACCTCATGGAGCAGGTGTGCCCCCGAGCACGCCCACGTGTGCAGGGAGCTGGTGCCGATGCCTTCTGTGTGCGGGCGAGCTTCTGTGTTGTGACTCAGCCCACGTGCGTGCTTCTGTGTGCCGAGTGGCTGCATGCCCAGATCCGTGCTGCACGCTCCAACTCGTGAGGGTGCGGGGGCTGTGGGAGGGAGATGGATGCGTGTGGTTTGTAGGCATGTGTGTTAGTGTGTGCATGCAGGGCCAAGGGGCCCCCACCGCATGTGTGTGCACGCCCGGGCGTATGCGTGTGTGTGTTCCCCGCCCCACCCGAGTGCGTGAACTGCCCTGTTGATTTCGTGCTGTCTTTCAGAATCACTATCAGTGACCCTTGAAGAGTGTCAGCCACGGTAGGTAGATGCTGCTCTGCCTGCCGCATGAACGCGTCTGCCCCGCCGCGCTGGCCGCACCCAGGGCCAGGCCCTGCCCGCTCCCCACTGCAGCTCCGGACTGCCGCTTCTCCCCTTCTCTGTCCTTGCGCCAGCTGCCTCTCTGTGCCCTCCCTTCCCAGCCAGCCTCGGGACTCAAAGCCCGCAGCCTCCATGGCCCCCTCCCCTGGAGCTGAGCCTGGGAGCTCTTGGGGCAGGCTCCGCACCTGAGCTGGCGTGGGTGCTCTCTGTCGGAGAGGCCAGAGAGCCTGTGGGTTATAGTGTAGGGATGAGAATGTGGAGGGGATGGTTGCTGGGCTGCCGCAGGCCTTTGAACTTCATACTGAGTGCGTGCCACTAGGGGCAGCGGGCAGCCATCTAGCCACTGCCTCCACCCAGCCTAGGAGTTCTGGGAATGGAATCCAGCATCACTGGACAGGGATGATGGTCTCAGGCAGGAGCCACCTGGCAGCTGGGCAACTGTGTGGGATGAAGGCTGTGCATACTGCCACCTCCTGGCGAGGCCAGGATGTGCAGTCTGTTCCTGGCCTCCCTGGCATTGTCACACCTGCTACTGCTTGACCGAAGACAGGGTCCTGGACTCCTAGGAAGCACCCTAGCCAGCCTACGGGCTCAGGCACCTTGGTCTTGCTCCCAGGCAGGTCGGCTACTCCGAGGGCTGCCCTGGCCTGGCTGCAGAAGTGGCCCAGCGGCCCCACCTGCAACACGTCCCTGGCCTCTGGCCTCTGACTCTTGCCTCTTCTGCTTTTCCCCAGCAGGAAGGGCCCAGCCTCGCCTACGCGACCTGCAGCCCCCCGGCCAGCTGAGACTCCCTTCTTAGACTTATAAGGCTGTGGCCACTGGCGTCTGGCTGCCTGCCCTTCTTTCTCTCCCAGGGTCCTCCTTGGAGGATTCCAGGGCTTTTTGAGCATCCAGAGGGGCTTCCAGCGCCCCCTCCAGCCATCTTTTTTTTAAGCTCTGCACTGCTGGTTGAAGCAGTGTTCTTCCTCTTGTTTTTCTCCCTGGGGCCTGGTGGCTGCTGTGTGGGCAAACACTGCTCTTGCCTTTGGCCAGTAGATCCAAAGACAAGGCCATCAGGAAGGAGGGCTGGGTGTGTGTCTAGGGCTACGGGTGCACTGCCTGGGTGGTGTGTGAGAACTGGTGTGAGTGGCACCCAGACTGCCCCAAAGCTCTGGTCAGCCCCTTCCTGCTCCTCCGCCCATCTTCCCACCCTTTCTTGTCCATCCCCTTTCCAGGAGCCCCACCCACACGACCCACCTGCATCTTCTCCCGGTCCCCGCCCCACCCACCACTGCCGTGGCCCAGCTGCTCTAGCCTTACCGCCTGTCTCCTTGCTCTCTCTGCCCTTCTCTCTTCTCTCTCTCTCCCATGGCCAGCCGATCGGGTCAGGCAAGTCCGTCCCGTCCTGAGAGTCCCAGGCCCCCCTTCGACCTCTAATCAGATCCCTCTTCTTCCTCGGAGACCTTCCTGGCCAAGCCTGCCTGGCCAAGCTGTTGTGTGATCTGACAATGGCTCCTCGGCCCCAAAGCCTCCCCTTCATCTGTGACTTTCTGTCGTATGGTGAGCTGACACATCCAGGCGTGACATTGGTCAAAACGTGCAGTACTGCTCCTGCCCTGTTCTATAAATACCTATAAATACTCATATAGATGTATATGTGCACACACAGGCACACACGTATATATATATAATATATATATATATATATGGCTGACAAAGCCTCACCTTTAGCGTTGGGAACTGGTCACCGTGCTGTCCTGTGGAGTCTCGTGGCCCAGTTGCAAGGGAACGCTGTCACCCTAATCGCCCCACTCCAGCGTGTGCCACTCCCATGAGCCTCCCTGTCCTGCCCCGCCTGTGGACGGCCAGCCCTGCTTCTGGCCCCTCCCTGCCCAGCGTTGGGTACGGTGGTGGTAGCCAGTGTAGTTCTTTTGACTGCCGCCGCCACCAATCCTGCTGGCTCTTGGCTGAAAATAAAACCCTTTTGTGGATGAGGGGGAAAACGATGTGTCCTGTGCTGGCTTGTATTCTCTGGGGAGCTCCAGGGGCGGGGAGGGCCCAAGTTGTCAACCCTGGGGGGTGCAGGGTGCAGGGGACCAAGGTCCTGTCCTTTGCCAAGCTGGCTTGATTCTTATGCTCTAAACCCCACTCTGGCCGGCAGGGGGCAGGATCACAAATTCAGCCTGCACTCAGGTGAAGGGGTAGGGAAATGGAAAACGTGAACTGGAAGTTAGCACCCCTGGGTGCAGCATTCCCTGCCTGCCCGCTCCACCATTAGCTCATAGCCTGTAACACAGAACTGTCATAGCTCCCCTGGCAGTCCCCCTAGAATGGCCCCATCAGGCTATCCCCGAGCAGTGTGCAAGAAACTGCTCTGGAAGATGCCTCATGGCTGAGCTGGACACATGTGGACGCTCCAGGGCTCCATACAGCACAGAGGCTGCTGCGTTGCTGGTGGGGCCCCTTCCCCAGGCCACTGCCTGCCTAGCCCCAGCACGACCAGACGCTGGGGTCCAGTGACACAACAGCAACACACTATGGCTAAATCCATTTATTTCAAAATAAAAACCAAAGTAACAGGAGTTACATCACCAGGGTTACACAGCCCTGTCTCCGCCTCCTTCCTGTCATTTAATAAATAAGTTCCCTGACCCCAAATAATTAAGACCTCCTCCTCTTTTATCAGCTCCAGCCTCCATTATGATACAGGGGGTGGCCCGACCCCCGGAATATACAAAATGTTACACAAGTACAATATGTACATGGGGGCAGGGGAAGACCGCCTCCAGCAGCCTCTCCCCTCACTGAGCTTATAGTTAGCCCCAACTTTCATAAAGCTGGACAGAATTCTGCCTCCTGCCCTGCCCCAAAGTGCCTGAAAAAGGGAAGCAGGTTCCCCAACTGCCTGCCCCATGCGCCTTGAGCTGTGACAGCGTGGCCCCCCACTGTCCTGCCTAGCAGCAAAGGCACTGATTAGAGAGCCGTCCCTGCCCGACGCTGCTCTTGTGGGCCCATGGGGAGCCCCATGTGTGCTAAGGGCTGTGACATGCCCTCACGGGACCAGCCCCCGGAGTCTTCCGGGGCAGGTGAGAGGGCAGAGCCTCCTCTTACAGACTCTGCCCCAACCAGGCCTACCGCTAGTCCCAAACCCTAAAGACCAAAGACCTTGCTGGGTTGGGAACATCCCTGAATGAGAATTTTCCTATTCAAAGAGGGGCCTGACCAGAAGCCCCGCCCAGATCCCTCACCCAAAGCTGCCTGCACCCAGGACCCTCAGTCAAAGATGCTCCCAAATAGAGGCCCTCAGTAGAAGATGCTCCCCACCCAGATACCCTTACCCAAGTTCCTTGAAGTTGCCCTTGCCCAGATATCCTTGCCAGAAGTTGCCCTCACTCAGGTACCCTCAGTCAAAAATGCTCCCCACCCAGAAACCCTTGGCTGAAGATGCTCTCATCCTTGAGCCCCTCACCCAGACACTCCCAGTTTAAGATGCTCCCCACCCAGAAACCCTCAGCTTATGATGTGCTCCATCTAGAGGCCCCGTCCCAGAGGCCCTCAGTAGAAAATGCTCTCCACCCAGAAACCCTCACCCAGGACTCTCACCCGAACTTGCCCCTGCGCAGATTTCCTCACCCAAAGTTGCCCTTGCCCAGATACCCCCACCCAGATGCCCTTTTGCACAATGCCCCTGCCTGTTCTAAGGGCCATGTAATTGCTGGCCTCGTTGACGGAGGCCTTTAAGGATGGAGCTGCTCCCGTTGACAGAGGTCCTTAATGATGGAGCTTGTGAGGAGGTCACCAGGAGCCCCTGAGGGTCCTTCAGAGAGGAACCCTGCCAAACAACTTAGGACCCCTTGCCAAGATAACAAAAGTGGCAAGGGGTCTGTAACTTGCTCTCCCCGTTAGGGGTCTTAGCTTGCTAAGGGGGTAGGGTAACTTGGAAGGAGTGACAGAGGAAAGGGTAGGGGTCAAGGACGGAGTGACAAGGACTGGGTGGGCTGGGCCCCAACATCTCTGGGCTGACGGCATGTGGCATTTAGACAATCATGATCTTAACTTCATCGTGCTCATCAGCCCGGTAGAAGAAGGGGATGCAGGGAATGGCACCCAGGCCTGGGCGCTCCCGCGGGTTCTGGATCTCCTGCAGCAGCCGCATGATCTGCTGCGCAGTGGGGTTCTTGGCAGCAGCATCTTCCCCGGCTTCTCCATGCACTGGCTCCTCGGGGTCGGTGAGGCTTACTTCCCGAAGATCTTGGGAGTCAGAGAAAGCTCTAAGCAACCTGCTGGGCTGCCCACCAGCCTGCCCACTCCCTCAGGGCATCTCTCCTCACCAGCCTGCTGGGCAGCAGCGTCCGGGAGGACTGGCGAGCCCTCAGGGGTGGGTTCACTTGGAGGGCTTGGGGCTGCAGCCACCAATCTGCTCTGCCACTGGTCGCGCTGGCTCACCAGCTGTAGCACCAGTTCCTGCAGCTCCAGCAGCTTGATCTGGAGGGAGACGTACTCACTCAGCGCCCCCGTGCCCCTGGCCGTGGCCTGTGCCCTGGGAGGCGGGGTCCAGGGGCCCCACCTTCATCTCCTCTTTGTCCTGGGCCAGGCGGCTGATGTACTCCTCCTTTTCCCGATGCCGCTCCTTCAGCATCGCCCTCTGGTTCTGGTAGAGGGCGATGTATTCTCCTGCAGAGATGGGGCAGGGGCAGAGCTCAGCCTCAAGGCTTGGTGCTTTCCCCCTCACCCCAGGTCCCCTGGCTCACCGATGGTGTCCGTCTCCCCAGAGAGCTGGATACAGCGATGTTCTAGCTCCTCCACACGCTCTCGAAGGTCCGCCTTCTCCTGCATCACCTCCCGGAAGCGGTGCTGGGGCCAAGGTCATGGGTTTAGGGGTCATCTGTGACTGGCCCTGTCCCTACCCTTCCTGGCCTGTGGTGGGAGACACCTCCCCTCACCTGTAGCTTCTCCATGGACCCCTGCAGGGCCTGGTGGGTCTCCCCAGACACGTAGTCACCCCTGGTGTCGGGGCCTGGGGTCCTCATCTCTGGCTCCCCCTGGGATAGCACCTCCAGGCGAGCCAGGCGTTGGCAGCGTGCCTTCTGCTCCTTCAACTGCCCGCGCAGCTGGGCCTGCTGCTCCTCAGCACGAGCGAGAGCTGAGTTGAAAAATGCCACCTATGGGCAAGAAGAGTGAGGGAGGGGGCAGGATATCCAGCTCTAAGGAGTGTCGAGGAGTGAACACACAGGCAGGCAGGCAGAAGTGGAGAAGGCAGAGGACAGCCTGGCTTACCAAGGCCTCTCTGCTCTCAAGCTCCTCCGGGATGGTCACTTTGGCCTGGGCTATCGCCTCCTCCTCCTCCTCCTCTTCTTCATCTCCCCCTGGGGAAGTGGCAGGGGGCAGTCAGACCATCCAGTGAGAGAGACGGGCCCAGGAGGAAAACCCAGGGACCACTTCTGCTCAACGCCTCCCTGTGTGACTTGGGGCTCTGGGGCACGCCACCTCCTTCCCCAGGCTGTTGCCTCTTCCCTTTACGTCCCCAAGCCCCATCCCCAACCCAAAGCCAGTTTCTCTCACCCTCTCCAGGGAGGCACAGGAGACTCAGCTGGGCTTGTAGCTGCTGGTTCTGCTGGCTGGTGGCTTCCAGGCGTTCCTGCAATCAGGGCCGGGAGGTCTGAGAAGGCTTGAAGGTGGCAGGTTCTTCCCGAGGGGTTAGGGGAAGGACTTGGCCAGTGGCTGGCTCACCTGGGTCTCCTGCAGCTCCTGGCGAGCAACCTCAATTGCCACCTTGCCCTGCACCTCCTCGTGCTGCAGCCGGTCCAGGACCTGTGTCTGCAACAGCAGCTGCTTGTGCAGTGCCTCCTTCTCGGAGTTCAGCTGCTGGTAGGCGGCCACGTGCTGCTGGTAGGCGGCCACATACTGCTGCAGGTGAGCCAGGTACTGGTCTCGCTGCTGCTCCAGGTTCTGAGCCTCCTGGCTCTTCAGCTCCACCTGGGGGAAGACACCAGGTGGGGGGTGGAGGTGAGCGACAGATGAGATGAGAGGAAGTGGCAGCTCACTTCCAGGTTCTGGGCCCTTCCATTGGTGGTACACAGAGCCCCATGCTTCCTGTATGCTGCCCCATAACCTTCTTTCCTATGGAACTTTAGGCCACAGGCCAGACAGCAAAAGCATAAGGTGTTTAGGGTGTGCTCAGGCCTAACACTTCATATGCATGATCCCATCTAATCCCTAACACCTCTATGAGGAAGCAACACTCATCTCCTTTCTCACTTCAGGAACCTGGAGGCTCAGCATTTGGTGCTGGTTACACGCCTCTCGCTGCCATGACCATGTCCAGGACTGGCAGGAGCCCAGGGCTACCCTCCTCTAAGAGGCAAAGAGCAGGAGCAATGAACAGTTGACACGAGGGTCATGCCTGCCCTCAGCAGAGATGTGCCCCAGGCCCCGCCCCCTCAGGCCCAGGCAGGGCTGGCCATACCATCTCCTTCAGTTCGCCCAGCTTCTCCTGCAGCTGGCCCAGCTTCTTGGCCAGCTCGTTCTTCACGTGCTGCTCAGACTGCAGTGAGCTGGTGAGCTCCATGTTGTCATTGGTCTGCATGAGAGATGAGTAGTCAGGGGCCGCCCCCAAAGCTGCTGGAGACCCCACCACTGTGTTGCCCACCTCCCACATGGCAGGGAGGGCTGGCAGCAGGCTGGGGAATCAGCCGCTTTTCTCCAGCAAGGAGGCCTCCCACAGTGGCCTTTCCCATGTCTACACTGTCCCATTTGACAGGCAGGAAAACAGGAGGTCCAGAGGGAAGCATTCGGCCCAAGCAAGGCCTCCACACACCAGGCGCACGAAGCCGTTCTGCAGCTCGGCCAGCTGCTCCTTGAGCTCACGGTTCTGGGTGAGCGCCCGGCTGATGGTAGTACGGTCGTTCTGCATAGTCTCCAGAATTTGCTTGCGCTCTTCGGCCTGGTTGTCCCACAGCTCAGACTGCAGCTCCAGGTGCAGCAGCCGCTGCTCCTGCTGCTGGTTCAGACGGGACAGGCCCTCGTTGTCCCGCACCTGGGCCTGGAGCTGTTCCGTCAGGCTTGCCAGCTCCTTCTGCAGCTTTTCGGCCTCTGCCTGCAGCTGCTGCTCTGTCTCCGACGGCCCTGCAGGGGCCGCTGGGGGCTCCAGGGCAGGAGACTCCACTGAAAAAAGTAGTTGCTGTCAGGGAACCTGCTCCTCTCAGGACTTCCAGGGGACCCCCTCCTTTCTTGGTACTTAGCTCCAAATGCTGTACCCCACCCCCCACCTCCCACCACGCTGGCTTTCAGCTGATGATTCTTCATACTCAGATGCTCACTCATCCTACAGCCACTTTCACAGAGGTTTCCTGTTTATGTTCAAAGTGAAGGTTGGCCATGGGCATGACACCCCATGAGGCTGAGATAAGACTTGCTGTCCCCTGGCATGGACCTCCTTTCTCTCTGCCTCTGTGCCGCACCCTGGGTACTCTAAGCAGCAGTCTTCAGCGCTCAGATACCTACTCCCAGGCCACACCTACCCTGCTTACCAATCTGGCTCCTGAGCTCGGCCAAGCTGGTCTCTAGCTCCTGCACCTGATTCAGGCTCTGTTCCTTCTCCTCCCTCAGCGAGGACATCTGCCCAAGGCACAGAGCAGACAGCCATGAGTGGACAGGGCCACCTCTCTCTGCATCGATGCTGCCACCAAAACCCCAATGCACAGCCATCTCAGGCTAGATGCAGTAGTAGGTGCACCTGCCGAGCCCATCTCACACACGCTCAGATAGACCCAGTGTCCTGCCCACTGTGGGTTGGCCTCACCTGGGCAGACATCTGCTTCATCCTTTCCTGCCACATGTTGCGCTCCTCCTTCAGATTCTCCATATACCGGTCTCTGTCCAGCTGTAGATTTTTCTGGATCTCCAGTAGCTGCAAGGATGGGCACCACCCTGGTCCTCACCTGCTCCTTGTCACCCAGGGCTACGGTCCTCCTTGCACAGGCCCCCTTCTGCTGCCAAGTCTCACCTGTCCCACACGGCTCTCCAGGAGGGCCCGCTCCTCCATTGCCCGCTGAAGCTGCTGGTTCTCATCAGGGACTTCAGTGCGGCTGGAGAACTGAATAGGGAAGGACAAGTTTAGATGTGGACAGCACCCCCACCCCCTGCCAGGCGGGGTTGCCTGAGAGTTCAAGTTTTGGTTTGGGGCCCCAGAGGAAGGAAGCAGACTCCTGGACTAGCCACGTGAATGTGACTTATGAAGGGATGTTTGTGGGGCAGGTATTCGGTGCTATGGTTACACTGCTGCTGGGCATACTAGCATCCCACAGCAGAGTGCCTGCTTCCAAGCACAGCTACTCCACTTCCCGTGCGGCTTCCTGGTAATGCACAGCCTAGGAAGCTGCAGGCGATGGCCTAGCATGCACTCGGAAGACCCGGAAGGAGTGTCAAGCTCCTGCCTTCAGTCTGGCCCAGCCCTGGCTGCTGCACGCATCTGGGAACGGTGGACAGAAAAGCGATCTCTCGCTACCTATAACTGTTGCCCTTTGCCTTTCAAATGGAAACTGAGATGTTTAAACACTGAGATGTCTGAAGAACTGTCTTACTGAGGTTCTGATTCCATAGCTTAGGCAGAACCCCTCTGTGTAGAATTCTAGCAATTTCTGGAGGATTCTGTGGAAGGACCAGAACATGGACCCCAAACTGCAGTGCTTGGCTGGAGGCTTTCCCTACGAGTCCCTGGAGATGGCGGCCTGCGGGCCAGGACCGGGCCCTGGCAGCCTGTTGCCTCTCACCTGCTGTAACAGCAGCTCTGACATCTCCAACTTCTTCTGCAGCTCCTCTGTTCCCAGCTGCAGGGTCGCCTTCTCTTTGAGCAGGACACGGAGCCGCTCCTCCAGTTCAGAGTTCTGCTCCTTCAGGTCCTCGTTGTTTTTGCTGTGACGAGAGGTGACAGAGAGGATAGTGAAGAAACCACAGGGCTTTGGTGACCTACTCTTCGTCTTGGTGCACCTCCACTGGGCCCTGGCTTTGGAGGGGTCTCCAACAATCAAGTGGCAGCCCAGAGGCAGAACCTGAGCTCCCTGAGGCCATCCTATGAACTGGTGACACAGGGAAGGCTAGAGCTTGGATCTACACAGGGCCCAGCCTGTACAGCCACCTCCTCCTCACGTCCACCTGCACTAACAAGGGCCCCACTCCACATTCCCCACCCCGCCTCTCCCATCCTACTTGTTCTTGTATAATTCCAGTTTGAGAGCATCTCGCTCTTTGGTCAGCTCCTTGTTGTGCTGCAAACACAGAAAAAGCTAAGTCAGGCACATGGCAGCACCAAGATGTGATTGGTGCACTGCGGACGACAGCTACAGGAACGATGCCATCACCCCCCTTGCTCAGCTCCCGCAAAGCCAAGGGACTGCCAAACCCTAAAGACTCAGGGCAGAGAGCTCGGACTCCCAGCTGGGTAGCACAGGTGCAGACACAGCAGGGTCCCCCTGTTGTTGGCATCACTGTTAGTAGGGCCACCACTGAGACCCTTCCTGAGTGCTAGGAGCCCTGTTAGGGTCTGATAGCCACCACCAGGAGGCAGACACTGTTACCTGCTCTACAGAGAAAAAATCCCACTAAGTGTCCTGGAGGTTCATTCAGCGCTTGTCTGAGATCTGGACCTGCTGGTCCCATTCTCTGGGCTATTTCCCCCCTCCTTGGAAATGAGGATACAGACATGGAGGGTGCATTCATGTGGCCAGCAGGGACAGAAGTGAAGGGACTCACAGCTCCCATGTCCCTCTTCCCAGATGTGTGACCCTTTTCAGATCTTACACAGCCACCTCTGTGAGTGCAAACTGCCCATGTCTGCACTTCACAGCTCATCTCCTAGCACCTGGCCTCCGAGGCTCACCTGGCACAGCCACCCCCACCCAACTCAGCACCAGGCTGTTTGTCACCACACAATGAAAGTGGCAGGAAATGGCTGGCTCCGATTGTATCTGAGTCACTCCATGCTGTACAGGGGACCTTCTTCATGCTGATGCCCTGCTCGGGAAAGCCAGGTTGCTCATGGCTGGCCAAGCACCTGGGCTCACCTTGTCCGTCTGCTTCTGCTGGGTGGAAACGGCAGACAGGGTCCGCTCCAGCTCTCCAACACGCTGGCGGGAAGCCTGCAGGCGGCTAGCAAGGTCTTCTGACTCCCCTGGAATGAGACGGGTAGAGATGGTGTCCCAAGGACAGCCCCCTACCACACACACACGCACACTCCTCCAGAAACCAGTCAGGTGCGTGGCTAAAGGATGAACGGGCACTCAGCCTCACCTGCCTTCTGTCTTGCTGCCTGCTGGGTGTGAGCCAGGGCTGACTGTAAGTCTGCCTTTTCAGACACAAGAATCCCAATGGTCTGAATGTGTACCTTGAAGATAAAAGGCAGATAATGTTCAGGGCGCGAGCGAGGACCCTCCTCCAGGGGGCGCTGGGGACCACACCCCGTCCCCTCACCTGCAGTTGTTCTCGCAGAGCCCCCTGTTCCTTGGCCAACTTTTGCTGACATTCTTTCTTCTCCTATAGGAAGAGCAAAGGGACATCCCTTACTAGGAGAGACAGAGATGGAATGACGGAGGCCTGCACTCCCAGGATGCCACCCGTGGCCCTGGGCGTGGCCCATGGATAAGACTGGAATTTCAGGGGCCCTGTAGAGGTGGGGTTGGGATGGGAGTGGGGTGCAGACCCAGCAGCCATGCAATAAGCAGACATGGAAATCACATTACTTTTTCCACTTGATCCAGAGTTTCCTGGTTCTGTTGTTTCTGTGGGGGGGAGGGGGGAAGAGTCAAAGGAAGGCGACCAAGGATGCACCCCCTTCACTCCCAGAGCAGCAAGGGGCGGCCGGGGGCCAGGGAAGGACTAGCAAGTTCTCAGAGCCTATGGGAGCAGGACTGTCCTCAAGTTTCCAAGGAAAGGAAGATGTGGGTCCTTGTGTGTTTTCATTTGGGATTCTCTTTGGGGGAACAGCAATATGAACATGCAGAAATGGGATCTGAGAGAACACAGATGGGCCTTCTGCTGAGTTCTGATTCACAGGGGTGCACTTTGCACAAGCTACTCAGAGGTCAGGGACTACGCCTGTATGCCTGCCATCAGGGACATGGGGTGAAAAGCACACAGTGTGCCACAAGTAGCCACGACCTTGGGGCAAGTGGGGCCAGGATACAAGCAGGGGTATCTGAAGGAGAGAGGAGGTGCAGAGGGCAGCCACAGGTAGAGCCATGCCACATGCTCATGCTCTGGGGTCCCCCTCCAGCTGAGACCTGGGCCTCCCACACCCCCTATTTTCCCTTGGAACCGGGGGCCACCACAGCCCCTTTCTTCAGAGCCCCATGGGGGAAACTGGAGGCCAGGGTGGGCAGCATGAAATCGGGGGACCCACGCCACACTGGACTCTTACCAGTTCCTCTATGGTGTTACTGAGTTGTTTGTTTGTTAGATAGCTGGAGTCCAGGGCTACTGCCAGCTCTTGGTACCGGCTCTGAGGCGCATGCAGAGAGGAGGAGTTGCAGGAGGGTTGGGGAAGAGGTAGAGAGAGCAGTCATTAGGGCTGGGGGGAGCTGTCTCAGCTGGCAGCAGGGTGCAAAGCCCCTGCCAGGGGATGAAGGGGGGCAGCCTGCAGAGCCACTCACCTCTAGATCCTTCATGTTAGAAGAAGTGAGGCCCTCCCCATTAATGTAGGATGTTGACTACAAGAGACAGGAGTTCAGACAGAGATGCCATGCCTTCCCCTGCAACACCCGCCACCCCCGCCCTCAGGACTTTATCTTGTCCCTATCCTCCCAGCCCCCTCTGGCAACTCCCAAGCCCTTCTCTGCCCAACTTGGCCTTTTCCTGCCATGGTCCTCTGTGCCAGCTTCTCTTGGGCTCACCACCCTCCCTTCCCATGCAATGTCACCTCCTGTGGATGGCAGCCAGGGAGAAGACGTGACCCGACAGGCCCCATGATGCCGGGCAAGTCAGCGGGTCCCAGGATCTTCCCTGCCTCCACTGCTATACTTTTCTGCTCCCTACTCCCTTTCTGAGTCCCAATTTCCCTGGTTACCTCGGATACAAGACCGTTGAGTTGTTGTGAAAGTTGTCGCAGGCTCTCGGTTGATGATAAAGTCCTAAGGATTAGAGACACACAGGTCAGGGCTGTAGGGAGAGAGTTCTGGGCAGTGGCCCACCCTGTAGCCCACAGTGTTGGGACTGCCACCCCAAAAGGACATACTCACCTGGTCTCATCCATGAGGGCAGGAGCATTGTCAGCATCATTATTCTGTTGAGGAAGAACAACAACAACAAAAAGACATGGTGATCATGTGATTTCCAGGAAGAGCACCCAAGACGGAGGGTGAGCCAGGCTCTTTTCAGCAACCTTTCATTGACGCAAGCCTCAAGCGAAAGCTGAGTCCTGGCCTCCCCCATCCCAGTGCAGAAAGGAGCCCAGCTGCCTGAAGACAGGCTATGAGATGGCAAAGTAGGTACAGCTTCTTTGAGAAGGAAGATGGCATGAGGGCATCAAAAGAGCAGTGGGCAGAGGCAGGCAGGCACAAACCTGAGTTGACGCCATGCTAGTTAGACTAGCGTCAGGGGAAGCGACACCACCAAGCGGCACGGTGTCATCAGCAGCTGGTGGTGCAGTAGCAATGCGATCTTTGGGCGCCTGCCAGAAAACAGAGCGGCAGGTCAGGGGGCCGTGGGGCATGTGGACATGGGGCACAGAGCAGGCAGGATAGACACTGCTGCAGCCAGTGCTAGTCATGCATGCTGGGAACCACTGGGGGGAGTGAGGATGGCTTGTCCAGGCTTCAGGACACAGTTGCTTTTCAGGTGGGCAAAGCGCAGAGGGGAGAGAGGGCGGCGCTGTGTGACCTTCACAGACACTGGGATCTGGTTCTCCTTGGAGGTCAGTGAAGGCTCTGGCCTGGATGGCCACAGCAGGTTACAGAGAAAGGGGACTAAAGGCAGGGAACCCGACAGGGTTGTAGAAAACCAATCTGTGTTGCAGAGTGGGCCCCCCTCAAGCCTAGGCCCCCTGCTGGGCAGAGCTCCTGGAGGCCCAGTGTGGGTCATGTCAAGGGAGCCCTCTGCCATCTCCTGTTCCCCTACGTTTCTCCTTCTCCCACTCTCTGCTGCAATCATCACTTCTGTTTCTCAGATTAGTAGCTTTTCGAGGAAAAAGGCTGCTTTCTGGAGTTAAATGAAGTCACAGCTATCCCACGGTCATGACCACCAATTTCCAAAATGCAGCCAGAAACCCACAGCAACAGGTCTGTTCCTTTGACCTGGGCTCCTCGAAACCAGAGGGACACTCTCCATGGGGAATGAGCCTAAGCTTTAGTACTTGGGAGTTATGAAGCCTCTTTCTCTTCCTCAGCTGAACCCACTTGCATGGTCAGCCCCATCCAGCCTCTCTTGGAGCTCAGGCTTAACTCCTGGTCCAAATGTTGGGCTCCAGAGACCAACGAATGTCAACAGGCCAGACAAGAGCAAACAGCAAGGATGGTGTACAAGTGACGCTAGCAGGCGGGCTGAGTGCGGGTGTGGGGCCAGTCAGCAGTACTCTCCACTCTCTGGGCCCTGCGAACTCTGCAGCCTTACCATGACATGGCCACACGACCCACTGCCCAGAGAGAATGCTGTCCCTGGAAGCTGGAGTTGTCCTGACAACTTCCACAACTCAAATCTAATGGGTGATAGCAGGCACTGGGCAGCCGGCCAGGCTTGGAACTTCACGGGTGGTAACACTCGCAGCCATGGATCCAGAATCTTTTCACTGATCCTTAAGATTAGCCACAGGAGCCACTGGGAAGTGGGGGGACAGCTCTCTGAGCAATCAGATTTGTTTTTAAAGGTCAATTTGAAAGGCAGAGAGAGAGATCTTCCATCTACCGATTCACTTCCCAGCAGATAGGGACAGGGCCAGGCTGAAGCCAGGAACAAGAGTTTCGTCCAGATTGCTCCTGTGGATTCAGGGGCCCAAGAACCTGGGCCATCTTCCCAGGCACATTAAGGGAGCTGGATTGGATATGGAGCAGCCAGGACTTACCCACATCGGATGCTGGCATTGCAGATAGTGGCTTAATGTGCCGTGCCAGACTGCCAACCTCGCTTAGCAATTTTAAATATATGCAACATATTTATTCTGTGAACAATCAAATGAATCCCTAAGTTTGAGTCTTTGGGGTGAAGGTTTAGACCAGCAGTCAAGGTGCCGGTTGAGAAGGCTCGCATGTCATATATCAAGGCGCCCGATCAAGTCTGACACCCAGCTCCACTCCGGCCTCTGAGCTCCTGGCCAACGCAATCCCTGGGAGACTACAGTGATAGCTCAAGTAACTGAGCTCTTCCATGCACGAGGGAGACCTTGATTCAGCTCCCAGCCCCAGCTAGCCCAGCCAGCCCAAGCCTTTGCACTTCAGCAATGAGCTAGCAAACAGGAGCGCTCTCTCTTTTGCCCCTCAAATTTCTAAAAAACTTTTAATAAAAAGCATTGTTTGTAGCTAAGTATGGAAGTTTTTTTTAAAAAATCCATCCCCTTCAACATAACCCATCCCATTTTCTCTCTCCATCATCCCTCATTTCTGGAGACACCGGCTCTGCTCAGGAGACCCGTGTCCTAGCCCTGTAGTCCTGGATCAGAAGCTTCCACAGGAAAACAGCTACCAATGGAGAACAGGTTCAAATGTACAACAAGGAGCAGCTGGGCAAAGATTCTTCTGGGTGAAAGCCGACCAGTCTCCTCAAAGGAGGAAAATGAAGCCCTGAGCCCCTAACCATTGCCACAAGGAAAGCCATGGAAACAGCTGTGGGACTCCATCAGGCCTGTGTCCTGCCTGTGACTGTACCACTTGGTCTCTCCTCTGAGGTAGGAACAGATGTGACAGCTGAAAACCCCTCAAATACAGCCAATGGTCCCTTTCCCCAGGCCCGACTCTGGCTTCAGCTCCAATATTCCAGCTTGGCAGATGGCCCTGGGGCAGTTCATTAAGGAGGAAGTGCCAAGGTCACATCTGGGGGTTACAGCCTACCTAGCCCTGTGTGCAGTGTGTTGCTCCCTCTCCAATCCCAGGTTCTCTGCATCCTGGCAAGGTACTCTATGACCTCACAATGTCAGCTACCACTCCATCTCTCCCACAGCCTCTCCCCACAGCCTCTCCCCTACCCAAGTGGATGAGTGGTACCCACCTTTAATCTTCACACTAACCTTAAATGCCACCTGCTCCCGCCTCAGGCCCACCTGGCACCAAGCACCTGGTGCACTGCCACCTTCCCCCTTTTCTCTTCTGGAGGACTCTGCCACACTTCCTACCTCATTCATCTACTGTTGCCGCTGTTCAGCTAAGGGCCCAGCGAATATGGTTAAGCATCCAACCCGATTTTTACAAGCAATTAGGGACACCGTGTCCTGGTCACTCATCTGGTTAACCTCACATCCTTGTCAGGTTTCTCTGAGAAGAGAAGCTCCATCTTTGTCATTCTAAGTCAAGTTTATTTTCTCTGAACGTTCTCTCAAACCAGAAAGAATTCACCAGTTTGAAACCTCACCAACTTCCCTTTGGCCTACATCTCTTTTAGATGCCCTGAGAACAAGACTTAAAGGTCCTTGGGTATTTTTAAACCTTTCCTGTGTTAGCACTGTGTAGGGCATTTAGAAGCCCAAGTCTCACACACCTGCTCTGAAAGTTACTGCCAAATTACTTTTTACCTTAGCCATGCCTTATTCTGTACAAGATGACAGAAGACATGAGGGAAGGAGGGAAAAATACTCAATTGAAGGAGCAGGGATGGAAGCAGACACAAGCAGGCCGAGGGTTAAAGGCAGCAATGTAAAATAAGCCAGAGGCAGAAGATTTCCCTAAAGCAGACAAACCTGGGGGCATGCAAGCCGGGAGGGGGTGGTCTGGGCACTACCTCACCTTGCACTTGTCCCATGGGGGGAGCGCTACCCCATTGGAACGATTAAGGTCGGACACCAGCACCTTCAGGATGTCCTGAATCTACAGCAGGTGAAAAGGGGAAAACCAGGGCAGGGGAAGGAAGAAAGAGAAGTGGCTTAGAAAGAGTCCAGGAAAGAGGAGGTGGGGTCTGGGAAATGGATGCTGAAGAAGAGCAAAGTTCGATTACCCCCTGGGGTCCCCCAGGCCATCCTTCCAACCAGCCACCGGCGACCAGCTGCTTTGCCAGAGAAGCAAACAGCGGGAAAGGGCCCAGCCACCAGAGTCACAGCAAGTGCAGTCAACAACCCACCGCAGCTCTTAGGCCCTCCCCCAAACCCCAGCCCCAGACTTCAGAGCAACAAGGCTGCAGCTAAGGTGGGAGAGGGGAAGACTCTGTCCAACTCCAGCAATCTCTTACAGAGAAAACTGAAGCCCACTGCCTAACCTAGTACTGCTCTCCTTGGCCTGCCGTGAGGCCAAGGAGGAGGAAAACCAAACAGCAAACACCAACAACTGAATGTTTACAAGGGCTTGTAGCAGTGATTAACATCAAAACAAGAGACATCTCACAGAAGTTTCATGAAGTGAAACAACATTGGCCTCATCTACTTTATAGTTGTAGAAACCCAGATGCAGGGGGCTTAAGCAACTGCCCCAAATCACACCCCTAGCAGGAAGGCAGGATTCAAACCCAGAATTCTTAACCACAATCTGACACTCCCTTCCACCACCTTGCCCATGGCCGCCTTGGTCCCCCCGCCCTGCTGCCCTGCAGAGCCTGGCCAGCCAGGACTTACGTCCTCCGGGGAGTGACTGTCCTCAGAGGGGCTTCTCTCCGGGCTGCTGTCATTTTTAAGCTTCTTCTTCTTCTTCTTCACTTCCGGAAGACCACCTGCACTATTCTTCTGCTGGTACTCTCGTAACTGTGGGAAAGAAACACAGTAAAGATTCTAGCACACTCTAAGACCCTACACTCACGTCTGCCATCGGACTTCACATCACCAACAACCCTAAGCGGGTTAGTTAGCATGATGGCTGGGTAAGGTCTAACGAACATGGCTTTCATAAACAGGAATACAGTTTCTAGCTCTGGCAGCCATGGTGGAAGTAAACCCAGAGAGGCAGAGGTAGAAAATTAAGCAAGGTGTCGTCAGGAAGGAATGCTGTGTGGTTTGGGAACAAGACACGGGCTCCTTTCCTACGTATTATACCTGAACCCCAGAAACCTAAAAAGAAAGAGCAAACTCAAGCATATTCCAGCCAGGAATCTCTCACGGTCTCACCAACTATGCCAAGGTTCTGAACCAAGCTATGGGGAGGCTCCACGGAGATGCCCCCCAGTTCTTCTGTGGCACCCAGATCACCCCCAGCTTGAAAGGCTGATGGGAGGAAAGTGCAAGAGGGAGATGGTCTAGCCCCAAAGTTTGGCTGGCTAAAACCTGTCCCACAGAGGATACAGCAGTTCTGAACTCCAGAGGGCTCTTAAGGTGAGGCTGTCCATCCCAGTCATGCAATTTCAATTTCAAAGAAAAAAACAACAGCAACAAAAAACCAAAAAGCCTCTCTGGAGGGTAGAAACCTGTCAGAAAACCAAACCACACACGTTTTCCATGGGCACCTGTGGGCATACTGCGGGCATTCCGAGCTCACTGAACAGGTACACACACTTCACACTAAATTCTGGGAGCAATAGAGGGCCAGAATGGGCCCTTGCCTACTAGGTCCCCCATCCAGATGGAACCGGAAAAGGAGTGAAGACCCTTAGGCGACAGGATGGGAAGATCAAAGGCGATAATGACAGTTCCCAGGGCCATTCGGCCTACCTACATTCCACAGTGCCCTACCCACGCCCGAGTCGCCGCTCCGCCGAGGGGGAGGGGAGCACGGGGCCCCGGGACCCCGAGTCTTTGGAGCCTGGCGGTCCTGGGGAGCTACAGGCAGGAGGCGAGGAGCCCCGAGAAGAGTCACCGGCCCAAAGTCACCCAGGGGCGCCCAGCGAGGGCGGGGGCTGGGCGGCTGAGGGGCGGGGCTGGCCGGGACGCCCGGGCTGGGGACACCGGCCAAGGGGCGCCCAGGGGCGCGACCCCGACGTGTCTCGGGCAGTGGCACACACCCAGGCCGCCGTCCGGCCGTCGGAAGGGCAGTGGGCCTGGTCCGGGCAGGGGGCGGGAGCGCGACTCGGAGCTTTTTACCTTTTTCCTGGCCGCAGCCAATTTGCTTTGCCGGGTTTCCTCCGACATCGCGGGGCGGGGAGGGGGAAGGGGGGGCCACATCACCACGATTCCCAGCAACCAATGCGAAGTCGCTTCCGGCAGCTACCGCGCAGATGTGTGACTGAGCCAGAAAAGGCAGGGTCGGGGCAGAACTAAGCGACGCTATGTGGGCGTGGCCTCAATTCTGGAAGCCCATTGGCCACCGAGAAAGATGGCATAAAGAAAGGCGTGGTCGAATCGTTGGGCATCTCGAGGCTTCAAAATGGAAGCTGCGCGCGCATCCCGAGAGTTGGGCCCCGCCCCCTCAGGACAGAGCTGCGCGCGCAGCTTTCAGGGCTCGCTGGTTCATGGCGTTTACCATAGAATCCTAGGGACCTGGCGGACCGCAAAGGCCGCTATTAGGCCCCTCGCCCTGGACCCACCTTCGTTGAAGACGCCCCCTAACCGGGGACCTCGGACTCCAGGACTCAGGAGGTGGGCGGGGGGACGCACGGCAGGGGGAAATTGTATCACTTCACAGTCCTTTTCTGACTCCTCCCATGTCCTTTCAGAAAACACCTCAAGGACCCCCTGAAAAGTCCTTTTAGACAGTCCCCGTTTCACAGCCACCCCTTCCTCGAAGGTCCCGCTCTGACCACGGAACCGTATCTGCCCCTTCCGGGGGGAGCACTCCTGAGTCCCATCTCCTGGCGCGCCCCCTCCGGCCCCGTCTTCTCGCAGCGAGCTCTGGGAGGCTCATCAGCCTCTTCCCCACGATTCCTCTCCAGGACTGAAGCAGGACCCAGCCGAAGCTGCCGCGGGGCCTTCCGGTCTCCGGTAAGTAGCCTGCAGCTCCCGACCCGGGAGTGTGGCCCTTAGCGCCCCCGGACCTTTGTGTTCCGACCTGTGTGTCCCCCCCGCATCCTGTGAGGATGTCTGGGCCGGCACCCCGAGTGTACTTGTACCCCGCCACACTCACGTCCTTTCCTAGCCCACCTCCACCCCAGCAGCAGTCCACTTGGCGACTCCCCATCTTCATGACGGGGGGAGGGAGGGGGCCCTCCCCATCTTGTCCCTGCACCCCCGGGGCTCTTGACCGCCCCCCGCTGCTGGTTTCTGTTCTCTCGCAGCCCAGCTCCTGTAGGTACCTCTGGCAGCACCCCCAAGCTCAGTCTCCTCTCACCCCCTCCCATCCCCACTCTCAATTACATCCTGAAAGACTTTGGAAAACAGCTGCCCCAACCAGCCACTTGGGGTAAGTGTGTGTCGGCAGGACCTGCTCTCCAAGAGCCACAAGCTAAAGAGCGTGAACAGGCACGAAACACCCCAAAACCAAATCCTCAACAGTAGGAGTTAAGTTCTCCAAGGGGGAGAAGGGGAACCTGGGCAAGAAGGGCTCCCCGGGGTAGTGGGACCAAAAGCCAGACTGGTAGGTAAGTTGCAGGCAGCCCTGGAGACCTGGTGGAAGCGCGGGACTGCTTTTGTTGCTGCGGGAGAGGGCTTTGGTACTGCATTGGCTCAGAGAAATACAGCAGCCATGCTCTCTAAACTTCCTGCTGCGTTGGACTCTGCATAACAGTATTTCTTTCTTGTTTGATTTTGAAAACAATTGCACACACACACACATACACACTTCATGGATCTGCATTGTGGCCTAGCAGGTTAAGCCCCAGCATCCCATTTGAGTCCCAGCTGCTCAACTTCTGATTCAGCCCTGACCTTTTTGTTTTTTTTTTTTAAAAAGAGATTTATTTATTTTTATTGGAAAGGCAGATATACAGAGAGGAGGAGAGAGAGAAGAAAATCTTCTGTCTGATGGTTCACTCCCCAACTCACCACAACGGCCAGTGCTGTGCCGATCCAAAGCCAGGCGCTTCCTCCAGGTCTCCCACACAGGTGCAGGGTCCCAAGGCTTTGGGCCACAGGCAGGGAGCTGGATGGGAAGTAGGGCTGCCGGGATTAGAACCAGTGCCTATATGGGCTCCCAGGAGTACAAGGCAAGGACTTTAGCCACTAGACTACCATGCTAGATTCCTGACCTTTCTTTTCTTTAAAAGATAGGCCCAGGTCTTTCCTCTAGCACTTGACCCTTCACACCCTAATCAAATATGTAAAAAGTATAAAACATAAAATTTATACAAATAAAAGAAAAATAAAAATAAGCCCAGGACTGACTGTTGCAGTCTCTCTGTAACTCCAAAGCCAGGACTCAGGAGCTTCTTCTGGGTCCCCCATGGGTGTAGGAATCTAAGGATTTGTTCCATCCTCTGCTGCTTTCCCAGGTCATAAGCAGGAAACTTCCTGGATGGCATGCTGGCACTGTAGGCGCTGTAGGCCTGAGCACCACCACACTGGCAGGCCTCTTAACGCTTTTCTGATAGCAACAGATGGAGCTGCTTTTGATTTTTTTTTTTTTTATGTTTTATTTAATTAGTGTCCTGGTTGCTCCACTTCCCATCCAGTTCCCTGCTTGTGACCTGGGAAAGAAGTAGAGGACGGCCCCAAACCATGGGACCCTGCACCTGAGTGGGAGACCTGGAAGAAGCTCCTGCCTCCTGGATTCGGATCAACTGCTCAGCTCCTGCCATTGCGTCCACTTGGGGAGTGAACCAGAGGACAGAAGATCTTTATATCTGCTTCTCTCTGTATAGATGCCTTCTCAATAAAAAGAAGTAAAGTCTTTAAAAAAATATTCATTTTTTAATATTCATTTTAATAATATTCATCTTTTTAAAGGTTTATTTATTTTTACTGGAAAGTCATATATACATAGGAGAGAAGACACAGAGAGGAAGATCTTCTGTCTGCTGATTCACTCCCCCAAGTGGCTGCGACAGCCAATCGGAAGCCAGGAGCCTCCTGTCTCCCATGCAGATGCAGGGTCCCAAGGCTTGGGGCCGTCCTTGACTGCTTTCCCAGGCCACAAGCAGGGAGCTGGGCGGGGTTGGAGCAGTCCAGATATAAACTGAAGCTTATATGAGATGCCACCCTTGCAGGCTGAGGACTGGCCAGTTGAACCATTGCAACTGTCCTGATGTTAAGATTCTAATATTTAGTGTGTCAAGTGGGAAGAAACGCCATAAAACTTCAGGGCAAGGGGATCGTAATATTTGAGGTGTTAACATTTTGGATAAGGTGGTTGGGGTGGCCTTTCCGATTGGCTGCTGTGGGACTAGAGCTTTAGTGGTGGTCCCTGAGGAAGCAACCCAGGTGTTGGGTGTTGTCCTTGATGTCTTGTTTACTGCTGCAGCCTATGCCAGTGCCTAGCAGACTGCTCACTTGCTGTTTGCTGAATGACTAGTTGCAAGCCATGGACCTAAGAACAGACCATTCCGGCCTCAGTGTCTCCTTGTCTCACCTGCAGACCGATCATTCCGCATCCACATGGTGAAGACTGACTGTGCACATAGCTGCTGGAGGTGGGAAGGGCAGAAGCGAGCTGTAGCCCTGGGGCACAGGGTTTTGTTACCTTCTGACATTATGAACCCAGTGACATTATAAAGCCCCTGGAGCAGATTACCTGGAGTCAGACTGGAGGCTAGGGCAGGCCCAATGGTTATGATTGGGTTTGGCTGAGAGACAGGAAAATCCCAAATAACAGGGGCATAGTCAACAGAGGGCCCGGCAAGATAGCTTAGTGGTTAAGGTTCTCACCTTGAGTGCACCAGGATCCCATATGGGCAACCAGTTCCCATCCAGCTCCCTGCTTGTGGCCTGGGAAAGCAGTCGAGAACAGCCCAAAGCCTTGGGATCCTGCAGCTGTGGGAGACCCAGAGGAGGTTCCTGGCTCCTGGCTTTGGGTCGGCACAGCACTGGCTGTTGTGGTCACTTGGGGAATGAACCATCGGACAGAGGATCTTCCTCTCGGTCTCTCCTCCTCTCTGTATATCTGCCTTCGCAATAAAAATAAATAAACCTTAAAAAAAAAAAAGTTGTCAGGGACCCAAGCCTCCATCTTTTCCCAACACATCTTCAACACATGACTTCTGCCAACCTCATCCAAGATGGCTGCTCCTCTCCACATTTCACATTCTAGCCGGCTGGAAAGCGGAAGGCCAGGGAAAGGCCAGCCCTCACCCAGAAGGACAGTTCCCAGATATTGTTGCTTGAGTTCCACTTGCCAGGGCCACGCTACAGACCAAGGGAAGCTGGGAAGTGTAGCGTTACTCTGAAGGTTGGGGGCCCTATTACTAAGCAGAAGCAAGTACCCACTGCCAGGCTTCATGCAAGTTCTGTATTGTGGGCAGCTGGTCAGCTTGGCCAGTGACTTTTTTCTGCCACCCAGCGACCATCCTCGAAGACTGCCCAGGCAGATGGGGTCACCGAGGACTCTCTGCTCCTTGACATTGAGAAGCTAAAGGAGAAGAGGGAGCTGCTGGACAAGGAGATCTCCCAGTTAATTTCTGAGTAAGTGTTCCTGGGGTTCTCAGCATGGCTAAGGTGGCTTGCTCTTTTTTAAAAGATTTATTTATTTTTATTGGAAAGGCAGATTTACAGAGAGGAGACACAGAAAGAAAGATCTTCCATTTGTTGGTTCACTTCCTAAATGGCTGCAACCGCTGGATCTGAGCTGAAGCCAGGAGCCAGGAGCTTTTTCTGGGTGTCCCACACAGGTGCAGGGTCCCATATCTTTGTTCCTTCCTCCACTGTTATCCCAGGCCACAGGCAAGGAGCTGGACGGGAAGGATGCAGCCGGGACACAAACCGGGGCCCGTATGGGATCTCAGCATTTGCAAGGGGAGGATTAGCCAATTGAGCCATTGTGCCAGCTACTAAGGTAGCTTTCAACAAGTGCCAGCACAACCAACATGCAGCTCAGCCTAGGAACAGGACTGTGCTGTTGATAGGGTTCAGGACATTTCCACAAGCTCCTGCCCACAGAGGGTCACAGGCTGGGCAGGGCCTAGCACCAAGACTGGAAAGGATTGAAGGCTTCCTCTCCCCAGTCTCTCGGGGCCACATCCCCTCCCTCTGCTTCTGGCTGCACGTAGACTCCATTCTCTTCATGCCACTGAGGTTTTCCGTGTGCGGAGAGAGCTGGTTGTCTCGAATCCCTCGCTATAGCCACCTACAGAGACCAAGCAGGCTTTGGGAGTTGGTGGCTGCTTGGATCATGTGCTTATCCTACGAGTCTCCAGCTGTGGCCAGGAGACATGGGGGGCTATGCCATGCCTGCCTGGGGGTTCTTCTGTCCATTTGGCAGGAGTGATCCCCTGCCCTGCTCTAGGTGTAATGAGGGTGGAGCCCATATTGCCACCGGAGCATCCCCAGGGCCTCGTTGAGCCTTTAGGCAGAGTTCTCATCTCTTCCAGAGCCTGGCTCCTCACAGCTTAACCTCTCCATCCCTCATCCTAGTGGCTACAGTGTGGACGAACTGGAGGACCACATCTCCCAGCTCCATGAGTACAATGACATCAAGGATGTAGGGCAGATGCTGCTGGGCAAGCTAGGTGAGCCTGAGTCCCGAGGGGCCCCAGGGCTTAGGGGTCATGTTGCTGCCCTCTAGTGGGTTGGACTTGGCTCTGGGGCTTCCTAACTTGCCAACCTTCCCACCCTTCTCAGCTGACCTGTTCCTGGAATTCACCAACCCTTCTTCTCATTGCTTCTGCTCTCCCCAGCCACCAGCGAAGCAGCAGTATAGCTCCTGCCTCAGTGTCTGGGTTTTTCCCCCAAATAAAGAGCCTGCTTTGGGGCTGAAGACAGATTTGAGTGGGACTTGGCCGCCTGTTAGACCATAGTGCAGGGTTGGCTCAGACTGACAGAGATGCTCTCTGTGCCTCTAGGGGCCAACTGACTGATGCAGAAAGGGTGGCTTAAAGGAGAATTTCCTTCTTTGAACAGAATTTTGCCATCTGAGGGCTTTAGCCAAGGCTCAGACACCTGTTTGTCTCCGCTGGCTGACCATGGTGCTGGCCTGAGGTTGAGGAACTGGGCAGAAGTTCTTCAGCCTCTCCAGTCCCATCCACCCACAGGGTGGCGATCTTCTGCCCAGCCAGCTCCAGCCTTTCTCAGTTTCATTAGAGGATGGGCCCTAAGGGCTTGGGGGCAGGGAGGTAAAAACAGGGAGATAGAAATGGAGGAAGTGGAGCCCCTGGCGCCAAGGCCTAGAAGTTAAAGTCCTTGCCTTGAACACGCCTGGGATCTCATATGGGCACCGGTTCTAATCCTGGCAGCTGCACTTCCCATCCAGCTCCCTGCTTGTGGCCTGGGAAAGCAGTCGAGGACAGCCCAAAGCTCTCCTCCTCTCTGTATATCTGACTTTCCAATAAAAAAAAAAAAAAAAAGAAAGAAAGAAATGGAGGAAGTGGAAGTTCAGAGCTCTAGAGAACAAAGGAGCTTTACCTGCAGCCCAGCAGTGTCAGCTCTTGGTGGGTAAAACCCAGTTGAGTCATCCCTTTCCATGAACTGGAGCTGGTGGGCCTCTCCCTTTCAGAGCTCCTGTCCTGAGCCAAGCCCTCTCAGGGTGCTGGGGAAGCTGCGGTGAGTCAGGTGCTTTAAGATTTATTTTTATTGTAAAGTCAGATATACAGAGAGGAAGATCTTCCATCCAATGATTCACTCCGCAAGTGGCTGCAACAGCCAGAGCTGAGCTGATCCAAAGCCCGGAGCGTACAGCCTCTTCCAGGTCTCCCACACCAGTGTAGGGTCCCAAGGCTTTGGGCTGTTCTCGACTGCTTTTCCAGGCCACAAGCAGCAAGCTTGATGGGAAGCGGGGCTGCTGGGATTAGAACCGGTGCCCATATGGGATCCCAGGAGTGCAAGGCGAGGACTTTAACCGCTAGGCTGCTGCACCCGGTCTCAGTCAGGCGCTTGACACTGTTCCCACGTGGCTTCCCTCTAGCATTCGGGTAGAAACGCTGATGAATAAGCAAATGAGTACAGCTGGTTCATTATCAAATGTGGCACATGAAGGGAAGTACATAGTTGGCAGGAGAGCTGAGGGAGGAACAGGTAGCCCTTGAGAGCCAACTAAGGTGGTCAGAGGAGGCTTTGAGAAATCTCCCTGCGAGAGGAAGGGGCATCCACATTATGGGGGCTGTGGGGTGAGGCTGCTGCTTGGGCCCTGCTACCCTGACAGGTGTACAACGAGTGTGGGAGATGATGAGTTCACATTTTAAACCAATGACTGTGGCTACCGTATGTGCTGCAGGAATTCTAAAGGGGCTCCGTCTAAAGGTGACTCGGTCTAGCCTAAAGACTCCAGGTCCCACGCTCCAGGTACCTGGATTCCAGACCTTCTTCTAGATCCTTCCTCTCAACTCCTTGCTAATGCAGGCTCTGGTGGGCAGTAGTGATGGTCACCAGCAAGGGACATCGGAATTGAGCCATTTTGAGTTCCCGGCTCCTTACTTTGGTGCAACACAGCCTGGGACCATTGAGGAATCTGGGGAGTAAGCTGCAGGATAAGACCTGCCTTGCGAATAAATAAAGCCTAAAAATAACTACTGGGTGAGGGTTCACGGAGTTCTCGCAATGCCGGTGTTGTGCACAGTAGCTGGAAGCTGGGCCAGCTCAGGAGCCAGTGTTTAGTGTGGGGTGAGCAAACCAGAACAAAGGGGAGAGGCCTGCAAGGAACAGGAGGGTGATGACTGGCCAGTCAGGGGTTCTGGTGCGAATTCAGAGGTGTGAGTTGCAGGTGGCCCAGGGCTTCGGCCGGCCGCCTCCCTCGCTGCTTAGTCCTCCTTCTTGTCTTTCAGCTGTGATCCGAGGTGTCACCACCAAAGAGTTATACCCGGAATTTGGCCTGGACGTGAATGATTGAGCAAGGGTCACTGCGCCGTGTCCGCTGCCCCACAGGCACAGCGAGAGCCCACCCAGGGCACCTGTGAGGGTTCCAGGGAGAAAATGCCAGAAGACTTCTGAAGAGCCCAGGTGGAGGCAAGAAGCAGCCTCGAGAAAAAGGGGCAAGGGCAAAGGGAGATGTTCCCCGCTCTGGGGCTCCTGAAAAGCCGGTGGTGCCTGTGCCCAGATATGTGTGGTGATGGTCAGTAAATGGAGCCGTGTCTGTGTGACTCTGTACACGGATCTTTCTGTTTGGTGATAAAACAGTAACAAAGGGGGCAGGGAGAGAGAGACTGAGACTGCTTGCAAGTGCGAGACCTTGTATCCCCTGTCTCGGTGATTGAAAGTATACTGTGGGGAATTGGTGTTCTCATTTTTTTTTTTAAGATTTATTTAGTTTTTATTGGAAAGGCAGATATACAGAGAGGAGGAGAGACAGAGAGGAAGATCTTCTGTCCGCTGATTCACTCCCCAAGCAGCTGCAATGGCCAGAGCTGTACTGATGATCAGGAGCCAGGAGCTTCTTCTGTGTCTCCCACGCAAGTGCAGGGTCCCAAGGCTTTGGGCCGTCCTCGACTGCTTTCCCGGGCCACAGGCAGGGAGCTGGATGGGAAGTAGGGCTGCTGGGATTGGAACCAGCAACCATTTAGGACACCAGCGCATTCAAGGTGAGGACTTTAGCCGCAGAGCTTTCACACTGCGTTCTCATCTCACAGATGAGGAAACAGGTAGAGTGACTTGCCCAGGGTGTGTCAGCCGGTAAGTGGCAATGCGGGGGTTTAGTCCAAGCCTGCCTCTGCAGCTTAGGTTTGCAGGAGTGCCTGTGTGACAACTGGGAGTGAGCAAGATCCCAGTTTTGTTTCAGGGTATCAGCACTCCATTCTTGGAAAAAAAAAAAAAAAAGCTTAGACGTAACGATTTCTTCTAAACGCAAAAAAAAAGCTTAGACATAACGATTTCTTCTAAATGCGAGCCACCTTGATTCCATGCGCAATTCCTTTCCCAGGATTGCCTCTCCTAAGTCATGTGCAACTTCCTCAGACCTGTCAAGCTAGCTCTGCCTGCCTGCAGCTCGCTCAAGCTTTAGTTTTCTCCTGTATTTCCTTCTTCCCATTAAGGAGCACTCTAACCAGTCTACATTAGGACAAAACTTTTATTTTTTATTGGAAAGGCAGATGTACAGAGAGGCAAGACAGAGAGGAAGGTCTTCCGTCTGATGGTTCACTCCCCGAGCGGACACAAAAGCCAGAGCTGAACCAATCCGAAGCCAGGAGCCAGGAGCTTCCTCCAGGTCTCCCATGTGGGGGCAGGATCCCAAGGCCTTGGACCATCCTCGACTGCTTTCCCAGGCCACAAGCAGGGAGGTGGATGAGAAGCAGGGCTACCGGGATTAGAACTGGCGCCCATATGGGATCCCGGGCGTGCAAGGCGAGGACTTAACCACTTGCGCCACCGTGCCGGGCCCCGAGAACTGCTCAGTTTTCACACACATTCTTTTGTTTTTGTTCCCAATCTCTGGTAAAGCTGAGGGGAGAAAAGCTGTTTCTAAGGGAAAAGTATAACATACCTGTTCTTAGATTGTAGCTCTTATTATTTATTTAGTTTTTTCAATTTATTAGAAAGGCAGATTTACAGAAAGAAGGAGAGGCACAGAGAAAGATCCTCAGTTCACTGGTTCACTCCCCAAATGGCCTCCATGGCTGGAGCTGAACTGATCTGAAGCCAGGAACGAGGAGCTTCTTCTGGGTCTCCCACGTGAGTGCAGATTTCTAAGTCTTTGGGCCGTCCTCCGCTGCTTTCCCAGGCCACAGGCAGGGAGCTGGCTGGGAAGTGGAGTAGCTGGAATACGAATAAGCACCACAGGATGCTGGCTCTGTAAGTAGAGGATTAGCTTGTTGAGCCACCACATATGGCACTAGTCAGTTGGTTGCTTTTAAGCCTAGATATTGGCCACAAACAATGCAAAATGGGAACCTGGTATGATGGCTCAGTTGCTGAATCCTCAGCTTGTACATGCCAGGATCCAATATGGGCATCAGTTCATATCCTGGGTACTGCACTTCCCATCCAACTCGCTACTTATGACTTGGGAAAGCAGTAGTGATGGCCTAAGGCCTTAGGACCCTGCACCCTGAAGAAACTCTTGGTTCCTGGCTTCAGGTTAGCTCACTTCAGCTGTTGCAGCCACTCGGGTAGTGATCCAGCGCGTGGAAGAACTTTCTGTTTTTCCTTCTCTTTGTAAATCTGCCTTTCTAATAAAAATGTTTTTTTAAAAGATTTATTAGTTTTTTTTAAAGTACTTCTTTTTAAATATTTATTTGTTTTTTATTGGAAAGTCAGATATACAGAGAGGAGGAGAGACAGATAGGAAGATCTTCTGTCTGATGATTCTCTGCAAGTGGCCGCAACAGCCAGTGCTGCACCAATCCGAAGCCAGGAGCCAGGAACTTCTTCCAGGTCTCCCACACAGGTGCAGGGTCCCAAGGGCTGTTCTCGACTGCCTTCCCAGGCCACAAGCAGGGAGCTGGATGGGAACCAGGGCTGCCGGGATTAGAACTGGCGCCCATATGGGATCCCAGCACTTTCAAGGTGAGGATTTTAGCCACTAGGCTATGGCGCCAGGCCCAAAAGTAACTTTTTAAAATTTTATGTAAAGTAGGGCCTGGCACAGTAACTTAAAGCTAAAATCCTCACCTCTGAGGTGAGGGCAGAGCCACAGACTGAGGCAGCTCTGGCCCAGCACCCCAGGCCGGTCATACTCCGGCTGCAAGATGATGCAGCAACAACAGCACTTCAGAGAAAGATTTCCACCTAGAGGGGGAAACATGAAGGCTGGCAGCATGCGAGGGCGCCCAGCCCTCCCGCAGGATGCATAATGTGGGAGGAGGTCAGGCAGCCGTGGGGCCGACAGGGAAGCGATCACCACACAGGAACTGGCGGGAGCCTCTGCCAAAACCACCGCCTAGCAAAGGCCGCCACAGACTCACAAAGGATCCTTCTGTGTGAGCACCTGCACGGCAGCTGCCCTTGTCAGCTCCTTCAACACCTCCACCGTTCCTGCCTCTGGACAAGGATTACCGCTTCAGAATAGTCTGGAAACTAGTTTACCTGTATGAGTTTTACTTTCTACCAGCCCCCTGAAAGAGGACTTCTGTGTCCACGGCCCCCCTAACTCCCAAGTAAACACCATATCGTTAGAGTATCTGTTTGTTTCCTGAAGGTTGCTAGTAACCTGTGACTCTCATAGAATTCCGCTCTTTAAGGTTCAGAACCCACATGCCAGACACCCAGTTTTGGCCAAGCCAGTGTGAGCTGTTTTGTTTGTTCTTTTAAGATTTATTTTTATTGGAAAGTCAGGTATACAGAGAGAGAAAGAGGGAGAGAGAGAAAGAGGAAGATCTGTCTGTTAATTCACTCCCCAAGCAGCCACAACGGCCGGAGCTGCACCGATCTGAAGCCAGGAGCCTGCAAGTCTCCCACCCAGGTGCAGGGTCCCGAGGCTTTGGGCCGTCCTCAACTGCTTTCCCAGGCCACAAGCAGGGAGTTAGATGATAAGTGGGGCTGCCAGGATTGGAACCGGCACCTAAATGGGATCCTGGCACATGCAAGGCAAGGACTTTAGCCCTTTGGCCAGGCCCGTGACCAGGATTTTACCCATGCTCAGTGTTCTAGCTGCTCCTCTGCCCCCTCACAGACACCAGTCACAGCCCTGCTGGGTGTGCTAAGGATTCAGATGGGATAGCAGTGCTTGGAAGACAGTCTGACATCAGGGGAAGTTTGGTTTCTGTAAAGGTGAGATGCAAAATCAAGCCTGTGTTTGATTACTACCTGTCGTCATGGATTTATTTATTTTTAAGATTTACTCCTTTTTTATTGGAAAGGCAGGTTTACTGAGAGAAGGAGAAACAGGGAAAGATTTCTCATCTGCTGGTTCATTCCCAAGTGGCTGCAACAGCCAGAGCTGAGCTGAGCCAAAGCCAGGAGCTCCTTCCCACATAGGTATAGGGTTCCAGGTTTGGGTCATCCTCCGCTGCTTTCCCATAAGCAGGGAGCTGGATGCGAAGAAGAGCAGCCAGAACACAAACCAGTACCTGCATGGGATGCCAGCACTTATAAAAGGAGCATCAGCCAAGTGAACCATTGTGGTGGCTCCTCAGCTGTCCTCATTGAAAAGCTGTGTGACTTTGGGCCACAAACTCAACCTCTCTGAAGTTGAAAGCGGAAATCGGGGCAGTGCTGTACTCCTGAGTAGTTAGCATCGCTTGCCTCCACAGATGACCCAGCAGCTCTGTGGCTGAACACAATACAACTCTAGGTGTCACGAAGTCTGACAAGGGCTGTGGCCCTCCCCTCCGTAACTATGCCCGTGGAACACATGGCCACGAGAGTCACCACCACAGGGCAGGAGAGAGCTGCAGAAGATGAACAGAAGTGGGCTTGCCTTTGCAGCTGGCATTGTGGGCACTGCAGGCTCATCTGCCAGTGGTGATACCAAGTTCTGCAGCATTGGTTCAAGTCCTGGCTGCCCATCTTCTAATCCCGCTCCCTGCCAATGTGTGTGGGAGAAGGCCCCTTGTGTGGGAGACCACGGTGGAGTTCCTGGCTCCTGGTTAACACCTAAGCAAAGTGCGACACTGGGGGAACTTCCCAGGGAAGATCCATCAGTGTATGAATGGTAGACAGGGTCCGTGGGACGGAAGTGACGTGTGCAAAAGCCTAGAAGCAGAGAACTAGGAGGACTCGGGACTCAGTGTGAAGACTGGTGAGGGGCAGCGATTGGATGTCTGTCCTCACGGGGTTCGTGGCATGAGCAGGGCACCCCACCCACTTGACATTTTGGGCCCATCCTGAGCCCAGCATCTTTAGGGTCTCCCGAGCAGGATTGGTCCTCCTGGATGGATGTAGTGGCAGGCTGTGGCCTCAGGAGGGCAGTGTCTGCCCAGGGATGTGTCCTGCAGACTCAGAGACAGGGGCTCCTGGGCGGACCCAGTAGAGGCGTCAGCTAGGGGGCGTGGCCTGCTGGAACTGGGAAAACAAGTGGCAGAGGTGGCCCCGGAGGAGAGGTGTGGACATGGCCCCATTTGGATGATTGTGTCTGTGTGAGTCCTACTTGAAAATACTTCTCATCTGGCCCCTCTGGCCTTTAAAACACAGTGCAGGGGACTGGCCGAAAGAGATCATTCTGGACAGCTAGATATCCCCCAGCCATTGTCACCAAGCTTCACCCCAT